GTCATGTATTTTATCTTAAATCATTATCACTTCATTCTCTCTTCATTGACAATCTTTACCTTTAAAAACAAAATCTATAGAAAATGGAAAATCTACAGAAAATATGGTAAACAAAAATTCTCTTTAATAATTCATCCTCTATTTATCGAAACTATAAGGTGGTGGTTGTTAAGCTTTGATTTATCTACATGTATATGGAAAAGTAACCTTCGGAACCTCTGTTCATTTTTTTGTCAATTTCATTTTCCTTAAACTTGCACAATTCTGCTTTTCTATGACAGTTTGAAATCCGTCGACCGAAGAAAGCTTGTCGTAATTTATCTCAACAAATGAGGAAGAATATGATGGAAATTGATTTGAAGTCATCACCGGTGTGTTATAATAAGAATAAGATGGTACAAGTTAGAAATGAAGAAATAAAAGAAGAAATAAATGAAAGACAAGAAGATGAACGAATTAAATCAGCTGTAGAAAGATTATCAGATGATGTAGAATTAATAGCTGATTGTAGTCGACCTTATAGTCTACCTACTGTATGTGGTAAACATAAAGATCTCAAGTCTATTTCACCTCAAACTGTAAGTAATATTCAAGCACATTTTTTATTCTTATAAATTTCATATAGGATATTATTAAAACCAAATATGAATAGTGAACTGTTTTATATTTGATCTGTATAAATATTAAGTATATCATTTATATTTCAGGTTGAAGATTTATTAAATGGAAAATACCCAACTATAGATAATAATTATATGATACTAGATTGTAGATATCAATATGAATATGATGGTGGTCATATCCAGGGAGCAATTAATACTTATATTAAAGATTCTATAGATAATTTATTACAATTACAAGATAAACCTAAAATTCTAATATTTCATTGTGAATTTTCTTCACAGAGAGCACCTACACTGTAAGTATCAAATATTCAAACAAGTGCATGCTATTATCGGACTTATACTTATTTGAATGTGTTGCGTATAATACATTAGCCGCAATATTCCCGAAATTATACGTTATTTATTGTTCTTTTTCAGATTACGATATCTTCGATCTCAAGACCGATTATTGAATAGTGATAATTATCCTAGTCTATATTACCCAGAAGTCTATATTCTAGATGGCGGATATAAAGCTTTTTATGAACAAACACAGGTAAATATATTTAAATTTCATATAATAGAATTATTCATAAATCATAAAATTATTGCAATAGGTATTACTTAAACAATTTGTCGTATTACTTTTCCATTGAAATAATATTAAATAGATCCACCCTGTTTTATATTTCAGAATCTGTGTGAACCCTGTGATTATATTCAAATGTTAGACCCAAAATTTAGTGAAGAATTATCAATTTTCCAGAGTAAAAAATCTCGAGGTAATAGAAGTAGAGAAGAGAAGATGAGAAAACCTCGTGTTATCAGATTTTGAATTTGTTATTGTTTTAAATTGTTATCTATTTGTTATTGTTATGTTTGATGTTATCAATGATATATTGTACAGTGTTACAGAATAAAAACTAACCTTAATACAATTATTTTCTAGGTTTGTTTTATACTTGAGATTTTACATTTGATAGGGACAACCTTACGCATGGATCTTAAATGCACCCCAGGATCACAAACCCGTATTTGTATGCACCTTACGCGGGTTGACTGAAAAGATCTGAGCCTACTATCGGGTTGAAACAAAGTTGCTGCCAAAGCTTTTACAAAGCGGTACAAAAACGTAGCAGTCCTAGATATTTTATGCATATGATTTTCTAGCCCAATTTGGCTCCACAAAGTTCTACATGTTTCCCAAATTTTGAAAGTTAGTCTTAAAGCTTTACCACTAGCTTCGTATTACAATTAACAAATCATACTTGTGTCTACTTGTTACGATAATGGTTTCGGAGTTATTGGGGGAAAAACGCGTCATATTTGGATTGTAGGCACGATAGAGGCCAAAGTTTTTATCCAATCTTGATGTATTTACTAATAGGATCTCAGTCCAAGTTCGAATTTGGTAATAATTGGAGGAGCCCTTGAATGTGTGTAGACACAATATAACTTCAAATGTTTTATCAAACTTAGTATGTATGTATATAGTGATCAATCAATAAGTTTCAATATTTTACGATATTTTAATTATTAAAGGCTGTCAAGATTGATCTGTAAAGTGACTACAGTGGTTATCCAATTTTGATGCAATTTGAAATAGATGTGTTTGTTAATGAGATCTTGGCCATGTTTCAATTTTATGATAATTTGTTTTTAGGTATTGTCTTGACATATAGATTATCTTTAAGATTATGAGAAAATTCATTTTTCAAGACTAAAGCGTATGTTGCCTTGTCTGGTATAAAATTTATGATAAGCAGTCAATGGGAAACAAATAAATTATAAGTACAGGGCAGTAAGACACGGTACTTTAGGCACTTTTCTTTTAGGCACACGGTCAATTAGACATAGGTCATTAGGAACAGCGTAATTTAGGCACACCTTCCAATAAGTATATATTCACACTTTTAAGGCACTCTTATATTGACACGGTGTCATTTAGGCATGTCAGATCTTGGGAGAAAATCGCCCTTGAAATAACCTCGAATAATATGCATTTACTAAATTTCGGTCTGGATTTAAGTATTAAATAAAATAGAAAGTTTACGTAAATCTATTGTTTATTTATTTCATAGATTAACACTGTACAATATTTCATTGATAACAAGTAACGTAACAATAACAAGTAGATAACAATTTAAAACAATAACAAATCAAAATCTGATAACACGAGGTTTTCTCATCTTCTCTTCTCTACTTCTATTACCTCGAGATCTTTTACTCTGGAAAATTGATAATTCTTAACTAAACTCAGGATCAACATTTGAATATAAATACAGGGTTCACACAGATTCTGAAAAATGAAAAAGGTTGAATTATTTAGTATAATCTACGTAGTGTTGAAAAATAATTATTTAAGTAACGCCTATTACAATAATTATATGACTTTAAATACTTTTAATCTACTAAACACCACATAATTCAATTCTAACATTGTAATAATTCTATTTATGAAAAAAGAAATATATTTACCTGTGTATGTTCATAAAAAGCTTTATATCCACCATCTAGAATATAGACTTCTGGGTAATATAGACTAGGATAATTATCACTATTTAATAATCTGTCCTGAGATCGAAGATATCGTAATC